AATAAGGATGCGATTTCAGCAACTTTCACTTGTTTTGGCACGGTTGCAAAAAGCGCATAAGTGGCGAATTTTTTTTGCATCTTTTGGAAAGGGTTACTGTCCTTGCAACAGTACATACTGCGGTTCGAACCCCAGTTGAGGTGCCTTTTAAAAAGTAAGTAAGGCCGAACTAAAAAAGGTGTGTGGTTCGACTAACATGGCGGGCGGGCGGGCGGATTTTTTTTTAAATATATTTTTTAGTACATGTAAATACACTGTACTGCCTTTAGACACCCAGTACATCGGCAGTGTTATGCCATACATGTTGGATTAAGGGATCACTGGCTAATACTTTGAAACATTGTGTGGCAGAAATGTGACTTAGAAGTATGTGTGACTCAGCCCTCCGGGCCCAATGAACAGTGCTATGGCAGATGTGTTGAGTAAAGAGTATGGTGGCAAATCGTGAAATCTACATTAATTAATTGGAGCATTGTACTCGCCAGTCTGCCGGTGGTCGTATCAAGTCGACTCTACTACCAGCACAAGGCAGCAGCCGTACCAGTCACTGCACTGCACTGCAGTACAACTACAAGTCAAGTCCAAAAGGAGCCGCCTGCGTCCGCAGACTCACGCTGCACAGCCTCGTAGACATGGACGTGTTCAGTCCACGTACGTCAGTCACACGACAGCCCGCCGAAAAAAAGTTACGGTCGGGCTGAAAAATGTACGGTCGGTCGGGTGAGTCGAACCACAGACTTTTTTCAGTGTGGCCTAAAGTAAATTATCGTGTCCGTTCCCGAAGGGAACTCACGACGGCCGCTAACACCCGATAAATCCTAGAGGCAGATGCAGCGCCTAACGGTAGGGGTGAGTGGATAAGTCTCACAACCACTGGCACAAGTGCCAAAAACGACCCCATTAGCTGCATCCATGTACCCCTTGTGCCTAGTCACAAGTTCCCAGTTGACTGTGGGTAGCAGCACGGCTGGAAAAACCGCTCCCAGGCAGGACTTGAGCCAGGTACCTCTCGTATCTCTGCCACTGCACTGTGTACGGTAAATCACGTTAAATGGCCATTATTTGTTCGGTTTGTATGGACGCGATGATTCGGGTGATGGTTTTTCCTGATGTTGAGCTTTCTGCTCCGCCAGTTGCTTTTCTCACAACTCTGTCGCAATCCATTCTCTTCTTGGTACCTTTCTTCAGGAATTCAGTCGTGACCTTGGGTCCTTTTCTTGGCCTCGAACCACAGGTCCAACAATCTATGCTCTAGAGGTGCAGTCAAGAAATCTATGGTCATCGGAGAAAATCAAACTGAACTGTTGGATAGACAGACACTGTCAAAACCACAGCCAAGGTGTAGGCATACACGTAGAAACAAGAGAGAACATTGATATCAGTTCCTCGGCCTCATGTCCACTACATCCTGTGTTCCAAGGGAACACAGGATGTAGTGGACACAGCCCTTCTTTAACTTCGTGAATACAATAGACCAATTGAAAGTGACTAGATTCTGCAGGGATCGACCTGCAATCTGGGGGAGCTAAGCCGAAAGTATATCATCACTGCATCTGTCGCTATTGCAACGTCAGCATACCATTGGCAATTTGCAAGCAAGAGAAACGCCTTTCGAACTGATATCCTCCGATTTCCACAATTCAACCTGCGCTGCAAAGCTGAGATCCACGCGCTTCAGTGGATGTCGATCACGCATGCGCCTTGCCAAAGGGAAATACCCTGGAACGCTCCTCAAAAAACGAAGTCATGAACAAAAAAATCGTGTTCCCTTTGGCCCGTGAATTCCGTGTTCATATTGTTGCCGCTCAATGAATTCTTATCCTATCGCGAAGAACGTTATACCCCGGAAAGATGAGGTCAAGACCTTTCCAACTGTGTATTGAATGTCGCGATGCATTTATGTTTGACGAAGTTACGAAAGTTTGTACACTGGTCTATGCACTGCTATATATCGCGCAATTTTTTGCTAGTTAACTCGTACGTAGTGGATCAGGTCATGCATAAAGCGTGAATTAACTCATACTCAGCACGCAAAGGGTTAAGGTTCTTCATCATATGCCCAAATCCCTTTCTAGGATCGCTCTCTATAATGTATTATGTTAACCTCGACAAGACCTCTCCTGGAAAGACGACGAATCATGATGTGCTGTCTTATCCATCATACTCCACTTTCCAAAATACCGGCAAACTTAACCCTCATTTTGGGTTGTGGGCTCCAAACGTGGCTCCAGGGGTCTGGTTTTTGGTATATCTTTATTTTCTTTCATGATATCAGCATGAAATTACAGATATTCCTCAACAATATGGGAATGGACTGGGGGTAACTTGTAGTTCCTTGGTCTTTCTCTTTGTATAATTATGAGAGGTAATCAAATTGTCTGGGTTAGAAGTTCTTGATCTTATTTCGGAAATCATGCATGGGGTCCGTTTGGACCACAGAAAATTACATCGTAGTCAGGTACAATAGGTGGTATATTGTTGATCACCTATGGCTTAGCTCTCCTCAATTCATTCTAACATGGATATTAAGGAACCAAATCAGAACCCTGAAATCATCTTCCACTTGAACAGCAGGAGTGCCTAAGATAACCTCGACAAATTGTGTACAACATACACAGCAAAGCGAAAGACACAATGGTGCCTCCCGAGGCAATTTCTCTACCCATAAGTTGTAGCCTGCAGGGTATATCATCGGGCTGTCCAACAAGCCTGCCTGCATCACCAATGAGAAGGCATCCAGGCATCTCATTTTCTTGGGGCAGCTCGATACCGATTTTGTGAATGCTCGTAATCAGTGTCGCGTTGATACATGTCACGAAAGCCAAGGAGCTTTGATATTGCATAGATTTCCAGAACTTTCTACCCCTGGTGCTGCTCCAGGACAAGTCAGTCGCCGAAGGTGCCCACTGTGACCACAAACAAGGTCAGGGCCTTCCTTGCATATTACGTTTTCATCAATCGTTGAGCACACTGCATTGTTCTGTACAATCTGCCATATGTCGGGAGTCCAGGGGAATATTTTGCTTCCGCCTAGTGAATGGTCTACCAGAGCTCCATAAGGGACTATAAAACCCAGTATGTTCTTCAAACTATTTGGAGAATCAAAAATACGTGACCGGGGTGCGTATGGAACCCGCATTTGTGTCCATTTATCTAGCCTGTTTGAGCAGCAGTTGCCAAAATATCTAGTTCCAGTTCCATAAAAACAACGCAGTTAGTGTATGTGTGTCAAAGAAGAAAACATCTGTGTGTGCCAACACAAACATTATTCGTGTTGTTCCACATTCCGCCAAATTTCCGCGAAATAATCGGAAAGACTCAGTTGCTGGTTTCATGTCTCCTTCACGTCATACTCCACCTTTCTGTTGAAGAACGTAGTTGCTTTTCAGCAGACCAAAAACTCTAAAATACGGTCTGAGCTCATGGATACTCAGCGAAATACGGTTGGGGTCCGAACGGACCCCAATATATTGGGAATGTAGGAAAAAAGTCAACATGGAATGAGGGTTAAGAGAGGATGCCTGAGAAAACCAGAACACATGTGCAAGTTGATCTCTAAGATTTCGCTCAAATTTTGAAGGTAGGTTTGGTTTGGGGTGTTGATCGACATTCCACAGCCTGCACAAAATCTTTTGAAGGGAACCATGAAATTGGTATGCCCCTCAATATTGGCCCAATATTGGCACGATTTTAAAATGGGTCTACAAACGAGCCACGGCACAGCGTACAAGAACAAGCTACGAACAAAACTCCATCAAGCCAACATTACCTCACCTTAGAAGAGTTCTTGGGGCAGCACTACTTAGCCACCCCAGCATCCCAGAGGACGAGGCCAATCATCCCTTGACGCCACAAATGATCGTCTTGAAAATAGCCAAATTACAAGCGCTGATAAAACAGCGAGCTACATCCTCAATTAGCAAACACTGCACACAGGCAGATAGTAGAACACCTCTTCTAGCGCTGAGGAAATGTCCCCGATAATCCTTAAAACAATTTTGAATTTTCCACTCGATCATTCTGAAATACGTCCAAATTCATACCTGCGCATGTAAGCTCGCTTCTCCGCAACGTCTTGTTAGCAATTTCTACTCCAACACCACTCCCAACGCTGCAGAACAAAGTGTATTGTTGACTCTGACAAGGAAAAGCAGCGGTGATCACTTGTCACTCCAAACGACAAACTTCTCCTTGCGTCACCAACATTTTTCGGTGCAACAGTTGATGCAAAAGTGACTGAATTTTTGCGTGTAGTTTTTGGATTTTACTGCAAGAGGAATGAAGAAATCGCGTGGATCGTGACGTAGAATATTGCTTTCTGGTGCATAACACGCTGCACACGATCACGATCGTTCCTGAGGCGCTATTCGAAACGGACCATGAGGGAGGAGGTAAGATGCATTATCTGCTTATATTTCTTGCATGCTCTGCTCAGAACATTTAGCAACTATCGTTATAGCACTAGCAGTATTGCATTGGCAAGAATTCTTTGAGATATTTCCTCTTGCAGTAAGACCAGGGATGCTTTTTTCACACTAATCTCGCTCATCCCGAACATGGTTCAACAGGAACTACGGCTAGTTTACATGCTGATGATCCACGTAGATCTGCAACAGCAAGGAATGAGCGTGGTCCATGCCATCAATTGGAGTTGAACAGCGCGCGGCCAACACTGGTTGCATGAAGTATGTGGCGCGCCCACATGGCAGATTTCTTACGTCATGAACAACGTGATTTGACCCTACTCGCCCTAGTCTCTGTGTTGCATGTTGAGGGAAAGTCCCGGCTGGAAGGCCTACAACACGACATGCGTGCTCTTGAGCTGGACATCAAGATGCACTTGATCCGATCCAGATCGACGGGTGATCCATGTAAGGTTGCATTTGTTCGCACCAAGGGCTCTTCAAACAAGTGCAGACTTTGAAAGCATTTCATCTCTTCCAGGCTGTTTTGGAGCCATTGATGGCACCCACATAGAAGTGAAGCCACCGTCTGACGACATGGACAGCTACCGCAATAGGCTCTCCTACTACAGCATTGTGTTGCAAGCAGTTAGTGATGCCGACATGATCTTCACGAACTGCTTTGCTGGATACCCTGGCTCAGTCCATGATGCCAGAGTGTTGAGAAATTCAACGCTGGCTCTTGAAGTGGCCAATCACCAGAACGTCCTGTTCCCACTTCAGACGTACATCATCGGCGACAGCGCCTATCCACTACACCAGTGGCTTATGGTGCCAGTCAAGCAGCATGGCCCAGGGCCTACACAAACCCAGATGACCTACAACGACGTTCATGCCAGTACACGAAAGGTGGTGGAGCGGGCGTTCCCTTTGCTGCGTTGCAGATGGCGGAAGCTGCAGTTCGTCGATCTGGATATACCGGAAGATTACCCGAAGTTAATCATTGCTTGTTGTGTCCTTCACAATGTATGCCGAATTCATGATGCTGATGATGTTGACTACTTCCTTGGAGTTGACGCGGTTGCTGTCGGTGCTGCTGATCCGCAAGATGATGGTGTCCAGGGCGACGACGAAGCAGTGTTTTTCAACCCAGCTGCTCCAGCACAACTTCGACGACAACAGCTCATCCAGTATCTCTCTACCTGATGATGCCATGCTCTGCCCAGCTGGATAATTATTACAGTGAAACCTGAGTTTATCGGACCCTGCCCCAACCGGAATCCTGTCCGGATCGGGCAATGTTTAATATACAGACAGGCGTCTAAAGAATTGGACGATGTATTGGATTACTCTTTAATCACCATGGGTTCTCCAGCACTTTTCCTCAAACTCAATCGCATATTGATGCCTTCCGCTCCGCTTTATCCGTTAGCCATGCCCAACCGCTGTATATATTTTGACATATCTACAAGATACTCGAACAGTCTTTTTGCGTCTTGCCACATCGTTAATTTTCCTATAGTTTGTCTTTACTGTTTTGATCATTGCAAATCATTGCTATTTCAATCATTTTCAGTCATGTTGTACCAGCTTTTTCAAGTTTGATATGGCTTTCTCTATCTGTTCTCTTTGCCAGTTTCTAATGAGTTCAATCTCTTTGGACTAGTTGCATGGCAACAATTCCACCGTGCACATCATGCATGCACCAGTATTAGGCTTCCTAAATGAGTTATCGTACCAAGCTCTGCTACTTGCCAATGAAAACATTGTCTGTATATCTTGTACCACATATTAAACAATGTGCCGAATATTGCTTGCATGAGAAAATTGAAAGGTTAAAAAAAGCACCCATGCAAGGATTGATGTGTTGGAACTTGGCTCATCACCTGTGTTCTTATGGTACGTGTACATGCATGTGTTCATAAACAAAAAAATGAGAACAGCACTAGCTTTGTTAGGATCCGTAATAGCGACACCATGATTGTGTGCTGTGAACACGCTAAAAGAAAGTAACGAAGGACCCAGAACAATCTCTCTGTAACGTAAACTTTACAACAGTTGCCTGTGATGGTATAACAGTCTAGAGCCTAAGAGCAACGGGTGAGGATTACTACATATATGCAGCTTTAGAAATGGACCATGACGCTTTGATATACTCCATTGCAACACTAATTTACCGTCACAAACAAAAGAACAAAGTAGCATAAATTTCCGAATAGCACTGTGTGATGGTGTATTTAGGCTTCGCAATGTGCAAAGGCAATAAATTGTGCACTGTATGTGAAGCGAAGGCTGGTCATTTAAAACATTACACCTGAAACAACAACATTTTAATACATATTAGGCCGCAACCACACTACGTAAAAATCACAGTACAAATTTTCATGCATATCTCGGTACAAGTCGGTACGCAACCACACTACACTTTTCGGTCTGCATAGATGACGTTTTCACGTGACCAGCACGTGACGCTCTCGTACCAAAGCGTGTGCCATGTGCTGGAAAAGACCGGGAAATTCAAAAACAATGCTGATGCTGATGCTATGTACGACGACCAGGTACAAAAACAAAGTTGTACACAGGAGATGGAGCGCGAAAACGACGAAAACGACAAACGTGGCTTTCTACAGGGGTGCGCCAGTTGCTGAAAACCTACAAAGCGCATTTTACATTTCGCACGCGTCGGCATGACGATTTCTACTGTAATGCCGTTTGTACGTGATTTTGTACATAGTGTGGTTGCAGCCTAAAGTTACATACTCTACTGTACATGTGGACACAACAGGGTCCCTAGTGGATTACCACAGGCATTACAGGGCCAGCCTTCAACCCAACATGCTCAACGTCACTACTATCACCTTCGCTTTCGGAACAGGAGGGAGACGGAGATGATGATGATGATGATGATGATGATGAAGCTGCAGAGGTCGAACTTGAGAATGTATCATGCTGTGCTTGCCCGCGTCTTTTCTTCTTCTTCCCAGCCATGGCGCTTTGCATCACCTTCAGGAATCCAGCCATCACTGTCATTTTTTCTTTGTATCTCTTCTTTTGGTCCTTTTGTGTCCTCGCTTCACACTCCTCGTGTCGACGTAGGAATTGACTGAATTCACTTCCTGCAGACACTTTCTGCTTACTCGCTCGTCTCTTTGAGGCGCCACTATCAGACATTGACCTTTCGGCAACTGGCTTCTTTCTTTTACTGCGTCGGCCACAGCCATGTTTCCAGTATCCGGGAGAGCTGGTGGCTTCTTCGATGGTGTAGTAGCAGGTTCGCACTTTGAGATGGCAATGCCAGGTCCAGGAAGAGTAGTTGAAAAGTCATCGGTTCGGCTTATAAGCTCGAACGGAGATTCCACTCTTGACTGGCCTGACGGTGTTGCCGACGTTGAAAGCAAAACTCCGGGGTCAAGGCGCTACCGCTGTCAACTAGAGAGACCGGAACAACGCTAGAGTTCTCACCAATCAGGTCCATGATATCGGCGTGGAAAGGCGGCTCCCGTTTCTTTGCGCTCCCTGTTTCCTTCAAGCTGTCCAGGTACTTCTGCGACGAGGACTTTAGGCTCTTCCACCGATTGCTGCATTGAACAGGACTCGGCCAGGTAGTTCGTTGGCCATCGGTTTCTCGGAGTTTTGCGGCGATCTGTTGCCACAGAGTGACGTTTTTGAAATTGATATTTAGGAATTTCTCCTGGTACTCGGAGTAAATTGACAAGAAGTCCTTGGTCAACTTCACCGACCATGAAAACGCCTCGTTACTCGCCATCTCGAGGACCAATTACTCTGCGTTTCTTGTCAGGCTTGTAGGTACATGTGTTAGGTGTAGGTATGGTTGCAAGCAACACCTAGATCTACGATACTTGTCTACCTACTAGTATTCTACTACGGACAGAAACGTTACTGTTCCTCGCTCGTTCAGGCTCACTGATGTGACAAGTCAGGCGTGTCGGCACAAACTTTCTACAAATAGATCAAGTACAAGATGAAGTGACACGAAAAGTCTCGCGGCACAAATCTTTCTAACAAGACACACTAGCGCATTGTGCATGTGGTAGTAAGCTCATGAGGAGACCGGTGCGAGTACTAGGTCTGGCCTGGCTGCACAAACAAACAAAGCCCGCGCTGTACCGGTGGCCGCACCTGCAGCACATTTTCATTCCGCTCGGAATGAGGTCTCATTCCACTTTTTCTTTGGAATCGCCAGAATTGATTCTGCCCCATCCATTCCCCACCAGAATCGGAATTGCACCAAACAAATGCTGTCGCTTGCATCGAAAAAACGCACCGGAACCAAAACACAGCGGAATGGCTTAGGAATGGTAGCGGAATGGCACCGAACAAACGCAACCTAAGTGCAGCTGGTGCGCTTGATCAAGATGACTCGGAACAACTGCTGAACCGTGATCTACTAGACCTGGCATTCTTGTGTCACGAGGCAAGTGATTTCATCATTCCTCTTGCAGTAAAATCCAAAAACTACACGCAAAAATTCAGTCACTTTTGCATTAACTGTTGCACCGAAAAATGTTGGTGACACAAGGAGAAGCTGGACGTTTGGAGTGACAAGTGATCACCGCTGATTTTCCTTGTCAGAGTCAACAATACACTTTGTTCTGCAGGCCCATAAATCGTGCCAATATTGGGCCAATATTGAGGGGTATGCTAATTTCATGGTTCCCTTCAAAAGATTATGCACGGGCTTTGGAATGTTTATCTACACCCCGAAGCAAACCTACCTGCAAAATTTGAGCGAAATCTGAGAGATTGACTTGCACATATGTTCTGGCTTTCTCAGACATGCTCTCTGAAACAATTTGAGTGGTGCATGAACGCTAGCGCAACGTGAGCATAGAATTGGCGATTTGGCAAGTTTGGCTTATCATACGGAAGCGAGAGTGCCATTCAAACCAATATTAAATTCTCTTTCTTCTGGACCCTACTTGAAACGTCGATACCGTTGCCCTTTAATTCAAATATGGTGTACCGTCGACTGACTAAAACGCTTGTAAATCACACAAAATTGGACGGATTTCTAGGAAAAAGCCGAAGAGCTCAGCTTTCTAATGCAACAATCGCCGAAGAGCTACGATGTCGCGTTTCAGAGATATCTCGCTCTACATTTCAGTCATGGGAAAAGTCGAAATTTTTCGCAGTGACTGGCCATGATTGCAGGATTTCCCCTTGGATTACATGCTCCCTGCACGTAGCTAGCTTAAAAGTAAACTCAGTGCAAAAAGGTCACTTATTATAACACCATCAATTCGGTCAAAAATAACAAATTTGATTATTGGATAAACAACCTGCATCTATTCTTTGCCCATTTTTTTAGCATGCCTTCCTCGACAAAATGATCTAATGGAGTCTAAACCAATGGCTAGTGATATCTCTTGTAGATATGATGGTAAGCACCATGCAGCAGAACCAGTGTGCGGAAGCACACAGAGGAAAGCAAACATATTCAGTGCCTGGATTCTTGATAATCTCTAGGATCTTTTCAAATACCCAATCTGATTTTTAAAAAATCTCTTTGCTATTCTTTTTCATCACCCCCCCCCCCCTTTAAACAACACAGTCTTTTTGTCATCTAGGGGTGCGTTTGGTTGGTACGATCTAGAACAGGATCGAACAGCTCGTGCACATGGAGCAGCCTCATGCCAACCAAACCGTACTCCAAAAACAGAGCACATTTTTGTGGAAAAATGTGCGAAACTTGGTGCATTCTTCAAAATGTGTATGGGTCACCATGGTGACTTTGTACTGTACAATGAGTCCAACCCAAAAGCGTATGCACGTGATCATTTGGGACCAAAATCGATGTTCCCGCCAGGTTTCACTGTGAAAAAGTGAAACTGCTCAGTCTGCTCCGGCCTCGAGGCCGGAGCAAGCAGAACATGTTCTGGCCGACCCAGAACAGGTGCAGTCCCAACCAAACGCGCTGTTCTGGTGAATCCTGTTCTAGTTCTTACCAACCAAACGCGCCCTAAGTCTTCATTGTCATTGATATCTGCCAGCAAAAAACAAACAAACAATGAAAACCTGTTTTACTATCCTTGCCTGTCTTTAAGCACATTGATGAATTCTGTTCCATACCCAGTGTATCGTGAAGAAATAATGACCCTCGCTCACTCAAATAAAAACAAGTCTCTAGGGGCCTCTACACCTAGACAAGCATCAGATTCTATTTTCATTAGCCATTCATTTTAATT